CCTTGGTATAATCCGACCAATCTAAGATCGTTTTGTAAGGAAAATCACATTTTATACACGGTTTGCAATTTCAATTCACTAGCGAAGAAGAAGACATTCAGAGATCAAAAATGAGTTTTAGGGTTATTGTCCAATAGCAAAGGGAAAATTTCTTGATGCTGAAGTGCTGCAGGAACTTGGCTCAAAGTATAACAAGACTCCAGCTCAAATATGTCTCAGATGGTCGCTTGAGCATGGTGTTCCTATTATCCCGAAAAGCAAAGAGAAACATCGAATTGCCGAAAATAGGAATGTGAGTGCTAGGAGCTTCTGTCACACGTGTAAAACGAAATATTCACTTTCTCAAGGTCTTTGACTTTTCCTTGAATGTCGACGACATGAAAATGTTAGCAAAGCTGCAACAATGTCCAAAGAAGCTCGTTCGTTTCGAAGACTTGCCGAACAAATTCGATCTGCCTGATGGTTACAAACTGAATGGACGAGTGTTCGGTGTTCCGGACGAGCTGATTTCCGCGGAGAATATGGCGGTTGTTAATGGAGTTCCTCTAGTCAAAACGTTTACTGATTAGTGGCTATATGTATTTGAAAAATGTCTGTAATCACTTTTTTATTCCAGAACGATAATCTTCCATATTCATTTTCCCCCTGTAAGAGCTTATTGTGATGTTGATTTTTCCTGTTTGTATCCTCAATATAGATCTACAACTACAAAAGGGCGGGTAACCAGTAATAAAGATGGCTCCTTTGTCTACTTATGTTTTTTAGTTAGATCTGGTGAGATATACGAACGTTTCATTTTCTCTAGAACAAGCTAGCAATCTCGAAAGAATCTTAAATGACTCATCGTTGCACTGTTAAGGTGCAAAACACTGTTTATGTTGAGGCAAATTTGTCCAGGCATTTTATAAGTAGGAAGCCCTCATTCCTTCTAGTCACTGCGCGCAGTTCCAATACAAAGGAAAATTGTGAATGGGTAAAAGAGCAGCGGTAGTACTTGTTCTGCCAACCGATTAGCAATTATGTATTGGCCTAACTGTAGTATACTGTACGGTTACATGGTTAGATTATAGGCTCTTTAAGGATCGTGAAAGACCAGGTTAACGTCCGCTTCGCACCGAGTTCAATTACTTAAGAGCTGTAAGCCGTATTTGAGCCGAAAAAGGTCACGATTTTTGTTTTGAATTAATATGTTTTTTCCAATTTATTTCTTGTTTTCTCATTTTCATTTCCACTTAAGATGCAAACGAACAGAAGAGTAAGGTGAGTTCCTACTAACCGTCCTCATTCATCTGAAAGGTTTTTCCCCACAGTT